CTTATATATATCTTTTTATAAGCGCCTACCATATCTATACCTGCATACCAAATTTCAAGCTCATGCGGCTTATGGTTCCGAAGTTATAGCTGATAAAAAATTCCACGCCTATGGGATGTGCCACGCCCCCTTTTCATACTCTTTCATATACACCTTACTATAAGCACCTACCGTAGCTGTGCCTGCGTACTAAATTTCAAGTTCATATGACTTATGATTTCGAAGTTATAGCTGATAAAAAATTCCTCGCCTACGGGATGTGCGACGCCCCCTTTTACAAACTCACTTATATATATCTTTTTATAAGCGCCTACCATATCTATACCTGCATACCAAATTTCAAGCTCATGCGGCTTATGGTTCCGAAGTTATAGCTGATAAAAAAATTCCACGCCTATGGGATGTGCCACGTCCCCCTTTACAAACTCATTTATTTACAGCCTTCTATAAGCACCTACCATAGCTAAGCCCGCATACCAAATTTTAAGTTCATCTGACTTACGATTTCCAAGTTATAGCTGATAAAAAATTCCACGCCTATGGGATGTGCCACGCCCTCTTTTCATACTCTTTCATATACACCTTACTATAAGCACCTACCGTAGCTGTGCCTGCTTACCAAATTTCAAGTTTATGGGGCTTATGGTTCCGAAGTTATAGCTGATAAATATTCCACGCCTACGGGATATACCACGCCGACTTTTATAAATTCATTTATATACCTTATTATAATTGCCCACCATAGAGATGTCGGCATCCCAAATTCAAGGTTCATGTGACTTATGATTTCGAAGTTATAGTTAATAAAAAATTCCACGCCACCTTATAAGCGCCCACCATAGATATGTCTGCATCCCAAATTCAAAGTCCATGTGACTTATGATTTCGAAGTTATAGCTGATAAAAATCCCACGCTTATGGGATGTGCCACGCCCCCTTACTCATGTAAATATACATACACTACTATAAGCACCTACCATTGACATATCGGCATACCAAGTTTCTAGTTCATGTGACTTATGGTCTGGAAGTTATGGCTGATTAAAAATTTCACGCCTATGGGAGGTGCCACGCCCCCTTGTAGGATCCAAATTTTTTTCACCCTATTATAGGCCCAGGTGTCATGGCAATACTCTGTCAAAAGGTTGTTCGATTCTGTACGTCCATTTAGGCTGCAACCTGGCACATATGTACATACATACATACTTCCACAAATATATAGTAGATATCGATGGCTGAGTGGAAGATCGACCTATCTCGGCAGCCAGTTCGAAAATGCTCTATCTCAAAAAACTTTTCAAGAACGCCCTATTTCAGAATTCGTTTCAAAAACACCCTATCTCAGCTGCCGATTCAAAAACGCCCTATATCAGCATATTTTCAATATATTTTGAAGTGGGATAGGGCGTTTTTGAACCGAATTTTGAGATAGGATGTTTTTCAATTAAATTCTGAAATAGGGCGTTCTTGAAGAGTTTTTTGAGATAGAGCGTTTTCGAACTGGCTGCCGAGATAGGTCGATCTTCCACTCAGCCATCGATATATACTTCTCTTTGCGTAAAATAATTTTTGGGGATGTCTCGGCCACAGGGCCACCTTTCGTGTATATTTTTAGTCCCAATATTTATTTTCAATTGTCTAAATTGTATTCTAAATATGAGCCACATCGGCAGGAAAATTTAGTTTTTAGGAATATTCCGACTCTAGCTCCACCTAGCAAATGCATTTTTGGTAAGAATATTTATTTTCTAGGTGCTGACTAGAGTCCGACCGATTCCAATTTTTTTTCAGGTACCGATGCCGATGCCGATTAATCGGCTTATGGGGAAAGAATCGGCCGATGCCGATGCCGATGCCGATTCCATAAAAAATTACAAATAAATGTGTTAATTCATAAAATCAGTTCATTTCACGGAGTTAAAAAATACAAAAGAAAATAAATAATTGAATTAATTGGCTTGTTATGCAACATTACATACCCATGTATGTACATATATACATATGTATGTGTAAAAATATATGGACATATATCACATTTATGTATGTACATTACATAAAACACTTTTTTATGGTGCTAAGCAAAAAATATTTAGGAACATAAAATTTCATTTCGTTTTGTACTAAAATACACTCTTTGGCACTCAATGCATAAGAACTTATATGCTAGGTATGTATGTACATACATATAGTGGTCCACGAAATAAAAGAAATGCGATATTTTGACCGATTTTGCCTTTTTTATTTAATGTTTATTATTTTTTTTTTATAAAAGTCTAGCTGGTATACAACAAACACCATATAAATTCAAACTTGGTACAAAAATTAGAAAAATTCTGCTTATTTTCACCAAAATTTCAAACTTTTTAATCAGAATTTTGGTATGGCTTGTAAACCATTTAATTCTAGTATAATGAAGTGCAAGTTTCAAGCTGCTATAAAATCCCGTTAAGTTTCGGCAATTTTTTTGCTGGCAGTGTTCTCCATATAAAAGAAAATTGTCGCACATACTTTTGTATGGCAAAAACGTAAAACACCTTCAACAAAAAAAATCATTTTTATGAGCTGTCTGCAAATGTTTTTTTAATGTTGGCTGTCGCTTCACCTGAAAAGAAATTCCAAAGAATCGGCGAAAAAAGGCCGATGCAGATGCTCAATTTTGTGCCGATACTAGCCGTTGCCGATGCCGATTAATCGGTCGGACTCTAGTGCTGACACATGTTCCAAATATGAACCAAATCGGGCTAGCCGTTTAATAGTTTAGTGACATTTAATGTAGAGAAAACTCTATGAAATTATGAAATCGTGACGTCTCAGCACTCGTCATTTTTCAGCAACAACAACAGTTTCAAATTTTTTTTACTCGAAAAACCTTCCACACAGAAGGTCCAAAAAAGTACCTTTTACAGAATTTAAATCGGTTCAGCCGTTTGGTCAGGCATCGCTGTCATACGAAAAACATTTCATTTTTATATATATAGATTTATGTTTTTGTTTTGTATGTTACCGCATAACTTTGGACCACGTCAACCGATTTCGATAATTTTGTTGCCATTGGAAAGGGTAGTGTCTCACAGGTGGTCTCATACTAATTTGGTTTCGATCTGATCATTGGACCATGAAAAAATTAACGGTACTCCTAAATTTGAATATTCGAATTGAAGTCAGTTGTGTTTTTTTGTTTAAAAATTACTTGTTCTTTTCATTGTAAAATCGATACTAGGTACAGTCGTATTAAGTTTGCCGTACAGATATGTAAATTTCAAAATTATTGCCAATGGGTTAGGTGGAAACAAGTGCTCGGGAAATTCAAAAGTCTTTAAGTCCAATATGCTTAAATCCTTCACCACTCATATTCCTTCAATGTAAGATGAGACGAAGTGCAATAATAGGAGTAAGCGCCAACTGAATTTATTGACAGATATAAGAGTTGTTGGTGGTGTCTTCTGCGAGGAACTTCCATTAACCTCATTCGCTGTGTTTTTCAAACGAAGATAACCAGCATAAAACATGTGTTTTAGATACTTACAACTCCAGTACCTGTCAAAAATGTGAACATATGTATGTATACCTTGATAGCTTAGCGGCAATAACAGCCTTTGGGTCTACGAGGATTAGCTTGAAAACTGTCACGGAGTGCCCGACATACGTTTCGACCGCATCAAAATACAAACGAGCAAACTCAGATGAGTTTAAGACTATCCCGATATTTGGTGGAAACTGCGTGCCGATGAACTGTAAAAAGCATTTTCGAGGAGTTGTCGCCAGTAAAAGGGGTTATCGGGATTTATTGGAAATCTTGGAATGAAAGGTGGCAAGTGCTTCTGTCCACGGAGGTCCGAGGCCCTTAAAGTTAAACAGGACTGGAGAAATTCTTAACAGACTGTTTGTTTTTTTTTGTTTTGTAAGGCTCGGCATCACCTCAAGCTCTTACAGTAACAACCGCATGGAAGGCGATGAGGTGGGATCATATAAGCATCTGCACCTTGGCCGTTATGCTAGCTTATGTAATAAACTTCTTGGGTCTCCTTTTTCACCCCAGATAAGGCTCCAAGAATAGATTTTAGTCGCTTGTGGGCATATGCTACTTTATTATTTACTACCAAAACTTCAGCGCTACAGTTCGGTTTTCCATTCTTCTTTCCCAATCCTGAAATCGTGTCACTAAGGAGGAATTTTTAGTTTCAGCTCTAAGTATGCATGTTGCTGTAGACAGCCACCCAATATAACCTAACCTAACCTAGAAGTGGAATGGCTCCGTGAAAAGTTTGCAAATAGAAGTAGCTTGTGCATGAAGTGCATAATATGGGGTTTAATTCTGCATTTTTTACCTATCTGCAGCTGTTTACAGGCTAGTACAATGCAAAACGCTTTTCATAGTTTCGGTATTTTAAGAAGTACATAAATTAAACCTCATTTTGAGAGGGTAGTTTAAATTAGGGACTTTTAATACCTAAGGATTATTATCTCGCCCGTATAAGCTAAGATTTCACCACGAGCAGCCTATAAAGCCCACCACATCCCCAGTACGCTGGGAGATAATACCAAGCTTCTGTTTAAAATACTAAATAATAGTATCCTGGATGACCAAATTCGCGAATAATCAATATTTACTTTCGGAAGAATACTTTCCTTTAGTCTTACTTTCTATATACATATGTACATGTGTAAATTATTATAATAAGTGATATTATATTAAATGTTTTCTAATTTGATACAGAAGCTGATGAAGGACTGAAGACATTCCGTTGGGCTTAGTGCCAAAACTATATACATGCTTATGAGCAAATATGTAACGTGTAAATGGGCGACTTGATACTCACTTATAATCAACTTTCGCTATGAACTCCGTCTGCCTATCCATTAGATGAAATATACCCAGCGTTATGCACATCACAAATATATGAGAATATTCTGGATATAAGTGATCGTTAGTGCTAAGGCTCTGGCCATAAACATAACTATACGAGAGCGTTACGACGACTGTGTAAAAAATTAATGTGAAAACGCCAACACTCAATTTGAGTATGAATGGAATCCGTGTAAATAGGAAGGTTATGCAAATGGTCAACATAAAACACTCTGTGATAGCCTAAGGGAAAGTATTTAATGATAAAAAGTTCACCATCAACTAAGTCTTTGACGAACCCAAGCATTGAATGAAGAAACATCATGCCTGGCGACACCCAAAATATGCACATTAGCTGCATCATTTATATGATTACCGAAATATATCTGAAATGAAAACGTATTAGCTACATATTTAGTACCATGGAAAATAAACTATTGAGCGCTTATCTCTTATCATACCAATTGCAAGATAATGCCAGTGGAGTGCAGGACAAGCACCACTAAGTACATGCCAATGCGCATAGTGATGTTACTTTGAATGCGCTCCGATAGTTTATAGAGACATTTGCTGACTTTTTTCATTGGCTTCGATGACTCTGTCTCGCTAATAAACATTATCCAAAGCTTTTTGTACCAAACCAAGGCCAATAGCAATATCATTACAATGTTGCTGATCCCAACTAGTATCCAAAACGCTAATGTTTGCCTAATGAATTATGAAATGGTATTTGATTAATTGTGAGTTTGAGATAATATTATTGTATAATCGTTTGGTCACAAATCGTTGCAAGTGAGCTATAAATTTCAATTTGAATTTTACTTACGACGAATTGACCGCCTGCATTATAATGGCACACAGCAGCGTTATGTACGAAACGAAAACGCTGTACTTGAGCATAATATCTGGCTGCTTCATGAACATAATTTCCCAGCGCCAGTCTTTGAAAAATAAAAATAGCGACGTTATATTGTTTCGAAACCGTTGTTCTTCCATTTCATCTTGGGTTAAGTGCTTCTCATGACCGAAACATATTTTGGAAAACCTGGAACCAAATAACGATAGATATTAGGTTTCGATAGGTCGTCTTCATTTTCTTATTTGGCGCTTAATCACTTAAGCGATTTTGGCCGAGTTCAACAAAACACGCCAGTCGTTACTTTTCAGTGCTAACTGACGAAAATTGGCAATGCCAAGTGAAGCCAAGTCCTTCTCCACCTGGCCTTTCCATCGCTGTGGGGGCCTCCATCCTCCTCTGCTACCACCGGCGGGCTCCGAGTTGAATACTTTCAGAGCTGGAGTATCAGAGTCCATTCAAACGACATGACCAAGCCAGCGAAGCCGCTGTATTTTAATTCGCTGCACTATGTCTATGTCGTTGTAAAGCTCATACAGCTCATCCTTCCATCGTCTGCGGTACTCGCCGTCGCCGACGCGTAAAGGCCCATAAATCTTCCGCAAAATCTCGAATACTCCAAAAGCCGCCTCATCTGATGTTGTCATTGTCCATGCTTCTGCGCCATATATCGCTACGGGTATGATGAGTGACTTATAGAGGGTGGTTTTTGTCCATCGAGAGCGGAATGTACTTCTTAATTGCGTACTCAGGGGCTCACGGAAACATTTAATTAGATTGTCCATTATGTTACCACAATGTATTGAATTTGTTAAATGAAAACTTCAGGTAATCTACGTTAAGTTAAGAAAAGGACTGAACGCTTAAAACAATGTTCCACTCCAGAGTTCTTCGGGAGGGTTGACGAAAAGCTCGCCCAAGTGTGTAAACCTTAGTTTGACGAATGCCGGAGTATGATACCACCTAGTCCTCCAAGCAGCGGCGGCAGTAAGCATCCCTAATGTTATTAAGTCGCACCGCGTTGGTTCCTAAAGGACAATGTCCGGTCAGTACACTTGTGGGAATCGAGAGGTAACGCTTAAACAGCTGTAGAAGCTCTCTTAATCGGTAGGGGTCAACAACCGGTCAGAAGGACCTTGCAACCATGCTTGTCGGGCTTTTAGCCCAGCGCTCGCTGTGCCGACTGTACGCTCATCTATCCAGGGGCAAGCCGCAGGTTCCCAACGAGATTTCAATGCACTCCCTGCCCGAGGTGATGGCCTCGAGGGTACCCTATGAGTCGCAGCGCTTCGGCTTCCAAAAGACAATGTCCAGCTTTCCTTTCAGAGGATCATGTGCTGTACGACCTGTTTCGAAAATCGCCCTGGCTGGGCCCTTTACAAGCCGCAATCAGGCGATCTCTGAAGGTTATACTCCTTGCCCGGATATAGCGGAACTCTGATCGGGCGAGCACTCGCGAGATCAATTATGGATATAAAATTAATAATTTTAACCCTTATAATCCTAAAGCTAGAGTTCAGCGCTCTTAAAAAGCTAAAGTCAATAAATCCGCATTACAATAAGGATGCGAACGATTAAGTTAAGTTTCGAGATCTAAAATGCGAATCTGATATATCAAAGGAGAAAGTTGCTGTAGCCTGAGACATCTCAACATCACCCCAGATTAGGGCTTGGATACCGGTCACGGAATCCGGTCCGGCGCTTGCTACCAGAGTTTAATCCAGGCATATCCACGTTCTATCGGAGTGAAATCAATAGCAGATAGATCGAGAAACAATTGAAGTCTGTAGTCATGTTTCTCAATAACGAAAGTGACAACAATGCTAGCTATGAGTGCGAAAAGATTAACTTCAGGGTCCTAAAGTAAACATTGGCCAGCATTTTTTCTTCTGTTTGACTGCTAATTGAAGCACGTAATGGAAAAGGATACAGGGTTGAATGTTCTACATTTTTCAACGGGTTAGTTACCTGCGTAACCTTCAGAGGTACATACATATATATTATTGCATAAAAATTAGACTTACTGTATCCTGCCAATAGGCATTCTTTCTACTTCTCGGCTCATTTCCAAAGTGGCTTGGGTTCGAATTTGATTATACTGACTTATGCTGCTTTGCATGAAATTTGTTGGGATATCACTTCTGGTATCCTTAAAAAAAGACTTTCACTAAAACTCTCAAAAGATATAAGTGGAATTGTTTAAACTTACACCTACAGATTTTGTTTCCAAACGTTTTCGCTTTGCTGCTGTTGGTCGCCTCATTGTAATGTACGACGAAACCTGTAAAACATAATTGAATTGCCAGTGTGCGTCTTAAAATTGATTATAACTATCTGTTGTATATTCCATAGCGTATACTAACTCTTGCTGATGGCGGTTTTATTAGAAAACTCCGAATATGATATTTACGCAAGACCGGATCATAACGCGCCTTCGCCGTGCCCTCCTCATACATAAACTCTCCGTCCAGCTGTTGCAAAGTCTGTCCGCTAACATGTACACGACCCGCCTCACCAGTCGACTCCAGCCGATTGGCTATGTCCACGTCTTTGGACCAAATATCGAATTGCCACTTGTTTGCACCAATGACGCCAGACAAAATATTCCCTGAATGTACACCGATACGCATATCAATGTCCAGCTTTCGTTTCGATCTAAAGAAAATTTAATGCCAGATTCAAGGTACAGGAGACAAATTACAATTGTAGTTATGGTTACCTCACATCACGTATATCCTTTATCATACGCAAGCCAAGGTAAACGCATGATCTAGCGTGGTACTCGTTGGGGGCTGGAACGCCGGCCACGCAATAATAGCAGTCACCTAGAAATTTAATACGCAAAACATCGTACTCCTGCAAAAGGAATTGCTTTAAAATCTGAAAGAATTTTTAATCATAGACGATATTTGTTTACCTGGGATGCTGTGTCGAATTTTACAAATAAATCGTGTAAAGTTTCCACTAATGTTTTCACATCCAGTGTTGTAGTCAAGTAAGTGTAGTTGACTACATCCGCATATAAGATTGAAACATCATCATGTGGTTCAATAAAAAGCTTTCTATGTGGAACAAAGTAAATTTTAAATAAAAACGAGTTAATAGAATGTAAAAAAAGGAAATCTCGATGTAACGTGAACGCAAAGCCTGGCTTTGCCCACCTAATGAAAAAAGAAACAATGTAATAAATAGTGCCACAGTTTTAAGTAGATTTGTTCTTTATCAAGTAAAGTCTTCAGGTCGATTGGTTCAAAAGTCGGAATATTCATGTTGTACGTTGGAACAAGGCCTGCGACGGAACGGGGGCCTAAATATGATAATTTTTGGGGCTTTGAACACCGCCTGAAGAATTTTATGTTAGCTAGTCTAGACATTTTTAGTTGTTGATAGGTGAACCTAGAGATGGGTTTTCATAGTTCGTCATCTGAGACAATTATTTCAAAATCGTCGTCTACATTAGAGGTATACGCCGCCGAGCTCACGCGCCGCCGCCGAGTTACGAAAATATAGGCGCGGCGGCGGCGGCGTTCCGCGCCTAAGGAATTTTGTACAAAATTTTCATGATGTATGTACATTGAAATACATCGTCTGAAGGAACTAAATACTACTAGTATAAAAACACAATTTTGCTAAATGAAAATTACATTTTTAAAGGAGTTGTTTTTGCATCATTTGGGCCACTGGAAAATAATATGATCTCCTTTTTTTCCAAAAAGAACATAACTCAGAAAAAACATAGGCAACATATTTTTCGATCGAAAGCGTTTATTACAGTTAAATTAGGGTCGAATACTGGTCATCTAACTATTTTTTTCTGCAGTAGAGAATTATTTTCAATACTACAACAATACTACTTTTTTATACACATACTACAACAACAGGTTATAACACATCAAAAACTTTAACGCGAATATCTCCTCAATTATTGGAGATGAAACAAAGACAAGTTGATTTTCCTGTGTATTTTTTTTTATATTTTAAACAGACTTTCATTAAAAAGCAAACACTTTTTTGCTAATTTTTACATTCGTAAGTTATTTTATTCTGGGGTCCCACATACGTATACAAGTACTAGGTGGCTGTGTGAAAATTAGCCATCCTTAGTGGTGGTCAAACCCCAGGAAGGTTTTGCTCCCTCACATCACAAAGTTCTCTACACAGGGTTAAAGTTAAGTATTAATTTTAATAATAAGTATTATTTTTCATTACATTCGGTTCTCCTTAGAAAAATTTGGGGCTTAATATTTTAGTGGAAATTTTAACCATCTATAAGGCATTTTTTTTAAACAGTGGGTTAAAAAGGCCCGTTCTGGTTCGAGTTGATGGGTTAAACTTTTAGAAAAAAGTAGACCAACCTTGTTTTCAATATGTAATCCGCAAAAAATCGTAAGAGCTCCGTAATTTAACAGAACAGTTGATAAAATTATTGCAAAAAATTACTGGTAGCGACATAAGTTACCCCAATAACTTAACTTTTTAATTTCTTTTATTTCTTTAAATTTAAATAGAACATACGGATCTGAAGAGAACATAGAGAGCCATGTGTGTATGTATGTATATACCTCAGACCTTCTTCTGTTCGCCCATCCATCAGCGCCAGACACTCCACATTTTAATTCAAGTAACGTAATTTAAATTTAAAACTAATTCAACGAATGAATTCAATAGAATTATAATCTTAATTGGCATGACGAATGCCTAACGCTGACGAGATGACATGACAAGATTAGTAGCCTCATGGCTCTTTTGAATCTACCTTATGCGCAGTAGCGCCGGCGTTTCCAGACGCGTCGGCGTCGCCGCCGCCGCCGAATCTTTTTGAAGTTGACCACGCCGCCGCCGCAAAGCCTGTCGGCGTAAACCTCTAGTCTACATCTGTTATAGGAGGGATTCTCAGCCTTCTTTCCTAATGTATCATTGAAGTTTAGGTTAAAGTACGTTTATATATCGATGGCTTAGTGGAAGATCGCCCTATCTCGGCAGCCAGTTCGAAAACACCCTATCTCAGAAAACTTTTCAAGAACGGCCTATTTCAGAATTTTATTGAAAAACACCCTATCCCAGAATTTGGTTGAAGAACGCCCTATCTCAAACGAAAATACATTGAAGATGTGCTGAGATGGGGCGTTTTTGAATCGGCAGCTGAGACAGGGATAGGACAGCGGCTGATGACGTTGAACCAATAACTGACGCGTTCAGATAGAAGTAATCGGCCATTTAAGCACAAGAGGTGGGAAGTGAATTATGCCACTTTCAAAACAAATGGCTCATGTGTATGAAAAGTGTATGCATGGCTAAGAATATAAAGTTCAATTGTAATTGATTAATGGAAAGTTTATTACTTACTCAGTGTCCATTTGTCGCCATAGAGGTGTCGGCGGGGAGCTAAGATATATCAAAGAGAGTCAAAGTGAAAGAAATAGTCATAAGTCCCATTCAGACCCGTTATTAGATACAGTGACTAAAATAAGCGATCACGTGTTGGTTTTTTAGTATTCACAATGTTTTTCAAGTTAAGTTTTTTGTTGTTATGTTTTTAAAAAAATATTGTTCTTGTTACTTTTAATTTATACGGTTTCAAGCAAAGATTTTGAAAATAAATGAATTTTTGTGAAGCGGGTAAGAATACAAATTATAATTTTTTATAAATTTTAATTAGTCGGGTTTGTGTTAGTTATTTAAATTTTAAAAGTAATGTTTTGAGCCTATATTTTGTTCATAATTAAGAAAAAAGTAGTTTTATTCCCTGTGGCTAAGTGGTTAGAGGTGCGTGCTACCACTCCATAAGCGCTGGGTTCGATCCCTGTCCTGGTCAGCATCTAAATTAGGAAATGTTTTTTCTAGCAGTGGTCTCCCCTCGGCAGGCAATGGAAAAACTACGAGTGCATTTCTGCTATTGAAAAGCTTATCATAAAATCCATTTGCCGTTCGGATGCGGCCTAAAATTGTAGGTGGTATAATATTAGGACGTACACCACAAAATGGAGAAGAAACTCGGCCAAATACTTAGCACCAAAATTGTAGTATTATCAATAAAATTAAAAGGCGCAATTAACACAAAAACAAATTTTGTCTATGTTTATAGAAGCTGATCTATCAAGAATACCCTACGAAATTATAAGAAGCTAAAGTTTGCGAAGACACCCTATCGAGAAGCCTGCAATATGGACATACATATGTATTAAACAGGCTACTTATAAATTTTGATCCAGTGATGACAGGTATGAGATCACAAAAAGGAAAACATGACAACCTTTCGCGAAAGAAACCATTTCCATGCATCAATCTAGTGACCATAAGCTACCTGATGTATATACATACATACATATATATCGTCGTCTGGGTAAAAGATTGTCGTATGTTAATTTCGACAGGTTTTGGGAAATCGCGATTGAAGTTTGGAATGCAATTTCTCAAAAATACAAAGATAAATTTTCTCCAAAATCTCGGAGAATATCGCTAGTTTACAAAATTTTTTAATTACTTCTTTTTTATTTTTTATTGTTAATTAGTTTTGAGTTTTCGAAGGATCTTAGTAAAATTTTGTGGCATGCGATATTTGTCCACAATTTGGCAGCCACTTTGTATGAAATACGACAAAATGTGATCAAAATTAGTACCAAATTAACGATACTTTTTACTCAATATCTTGGTAACTAAAAGAGATATCCAAAACCTGATAACACCAATCTTATTTTAAAATATATAACTGTATTTATAACTAAAAATCATAAAAATTGCGCTTACGACAATCTTTTATCCAGGCGACCATAACACATATGATGATAAGTTCTAAGCTCTAAGGACTAAGTATGTGTCTGGTAATGAACCCAAATAAGCCTCAGCCACGCGAAGCAATAGAGAACCTGCTTAAAATAAAGTTGAAAATTAAAACAAAAAAGTTTTAACTTTGTCCGGCCAGATTGATATAAATACCCCTGGCGTTTATTGTTTTTTTTTTTTTATCTTTTGCATACATTCTTGCTAATTTAATTCCATTAGAAATTCCTGTTTATATGGAGAAAAGTACAAAAGGTCATTAGCAAACAAGTTATTAAAAATCAACGCAAATATTTAACCGCTCGTAACTTGAACTTCATTACAATAAAAAAAATTAAAGAGTTCGAAGTTTTGATGACGATTTGACGAATTTTTCTAAATTTTGTATGAAGTTTAAACTTTAGTTTTAAGAATGCCGCCATCATATTTCGACAAAAATATTAAGATTTGCGTGAACTGGATCAATTCAGAAAAATTAAATTTAGTTTTTTTTATAAATATAATTAGTTTTTATAAATATCATTTCCAAAAAAATTACCTCATATAATAGAAAGTTAAAGGTTTAAAACTTTTTTATAAACTTTTATCAACAGTATCAAAAGAACAGAGGTATTAATCTAAGTCCAAACTGCATATAAAAATTATATGAATACCCGTAATGATATTTTTGAAGGTATTTTCAAATCAGTTCAGCTCGCTTAAATTCTAATATTTTTCCGAAATATTTTGGGGGAAGTCTTAAATATGTTAACTTTTTTGGGGCCCTAATGTATATGGCTTTGGTTATAGCACAAAGATTATTTTAATTTGTAAAAAAATTTGAAAACATTGTAAACATTAAAAAAAGACAACATCTGAATGGTTGTTTCAATCACTTCATATACCGAGCCCTCGCGCGAAATTATCGCTGTGAAAAATACAGGATAGAGTTTTTTCTACTTTTCTGTGTTTTAGTTTACAATATTAGAACCAAATTTTGCGTTCTACCACTCCGTAGGTCCTTGATTCGATCCAATACCAAAGCAATATCTAAATAAAAAAAAAGAACTAAGTTTTTTCTAACAGCGGTCGACCCTCGAGAGGCAAGGCAATTATCCGAGTGTATTTCTCCCTTGAAAAAGATTCTTAAAAACCCATTTGCCGAATGGCAATTCAGAGGCGTCACAAAATTGTAGGTCCTTCAATTTTTGTTGTATAAACGAAACAAAATGTGGTAACAATTCATTCGATAAAACATACATATATAAGCTATAATAATTTAACCATTTGCATCAAAAAGTCAATTACGGAAAAAAGGCGCATACGATAATTTCGCGCACAAGGGCCGATATGTGGGTTGCATCCACACACAGAAATGTGTATGCATTTCTACATCTGCAAAACAATACATACCCCACATCGTCATTCGTTGATCGTCTATGTTTTTTATTTTCCTTCATGTGTTCGATCCGCATCTTGACGTCTTCTTCGATTTTATTAGCTATTTGAGCTGGTATAATACTCAAGAGTAAGCTTTTCTGAAATTCAACGCCCAAATTTTATGCATTCATACTTGTGCTAATCAAGTTTGCATTCATTAAAAAAATGTATGTATGTATGTATGTACATACCTCCTGATCTCTAGCAGCTCGTAAAACTAAAGTCTCTTCAACACATTGACGCTTATCGAGGAATGTTGTACGTATGGCTACTTCACGTGTCAGACGAAAGAACAGACCCAGCATATTGACACAGGTCATAAATATGCCTTCGGATATGATTTTTGGCAAATCAACCTCTCTTGTGCCATCGAAATGGCGACGATATGTTACGAATGAAAATAAGATAATATAGCAGGCGGCTACTGCCACACCTAAAATAAAAGCCTGCACGTCTTCGGCAATCGGCATAAATATGTAGATGGAATATATGATAAAGCTATAGTAGGTCGGTACGGTAATATTATAGTCCGTGACAGCGCGATAGATTGGCACGGATATATCTAAATGTGTACAAAAATATTACTAAATATTTTAATTTCTAATTGAAAACTCAATTCAAGCGTGCCTCCTCACCCATCACCACAAGCGCTGAAACCGCTAACCAAATCGTTGCAAACGTTAACCATTCGTAGCGTTTATTGACGGTCGTGCGGAAGTTAAATACCAAAACAATGAGGATAACTGTGGTACAACCCATGTATGTTCCGATATCTACGTAAATGTCACGGTTCTCCTAAAAAATACATACATACATGTTTTGTTTCTTAAAAGTAAGTGAATGGCGTACTTACGCTTTTAGAGAATGAGACAATAAGTAACATGGAATGTACAATCGTGTTAAGTATTAGAATGAATATGAAAATACCAAGATGGCTTAGACGCAAACGTTTCATGTAGGATACATAATACTGTTCCAGTTCCAGATTGCGGCATTTCTTCTGAAATCACCAAACGAAATCAGTAATTATAGAGAAATGTTAGCTATTCGCGGTCTTCTTATGTATATACAGTGGCGAAAATATAAATAGGGAAGAGACATTTTAGCATTATTTGGTTATTATTCGTTAGATAATTTTCAATTCTGACAACTACCTTGAAAGCCCTTTACTGTCTTTCGAAAGACTATTTGAAGGATCTGCTAACGAGGAGGTCTCAACCTTATGCTGTTCGCCTTTTAACAATAAGTTTTTTCAAAATTAAATTAAATTAATTATTATATATTTTTATACTGATGGTTTTAGCGACCTTTCTGCTTATAATTTAGTGTTTTGCCGCCTCGAGGTCAATTTAAAAAAATTTTAATGAAAACACAAGTTTTATGGTGTTTCTTTCCGATATATTTCGATTACGCTTCGGTAACCGTCCTCAGGGCAACTATTGACAAACATGTAAAACATAAGATATACGTAAATACAAATTCCAAAAACAATAATTAAAAACAAAATGTATACATACATTAATTTACACGCCCGCACTGTTTGACGTGGAGTGTGGTACTGTCGATTTGTTTGTAAGCAATTGTCTGTACAAGTGAGCATGTCAATAGTTGCCCTGAGGACGGTTACCGAAGCGTAATCGAAATATATCGGAAAGAAACACCAAAATTTGTATTTTCATTAAAATTTTTTAAAATTGACCTCGATCCGGCAAAATACTAAATTATTATATATTTTTATTTTTAAAACAATAAAAACAACATAACAATAAAATCTAAAAATAAATTAGAAAAGAAAAAAATTAAATCAGAAAGGAAGAAAATAGTATCTCCTTAAAAATAAAAAAATATATGTATATTTAATTTTAAACAAAATCTAAAAATTAATTAAAAACGCGTGGAACGTAAATAACAGTTACTTTTTTCAACAGCTAAACTTGGCCAGATATTTTTAAGTCGAAAAGGAAAAGTCCTTTCCTAATAATAAACAAACCGCTTATCCAAATTAGTACTAGTAGAGAAGAGTACTAAAATAGCTTTAAAACTGAAATATTTAAACGAGGAAAGCCAGCAGAAAGCCGGTAATTGTAAAATATTTAAATAAAAAATAATTTATTTATTACCATAGCACAAACCTTGGATCAGGATATGCATATCTATTGTATTAATTTATAAAAAAAAATATAAATAGGAGTGGTAACTTTCGATCGTTATTTCTATTTAAAAGCTATTTAAGTCCTCTTTTAGTTGGTACCAAATTTGTTTAATTTGGATAAGCGGTTTGTTTACTATCCGGAAAGACTTTTATTTCGAACTTAAAAAATATCTGGCCAAGTTTAACTGTTGGAAAAAAATAACTGCTAATTACGGTCCCTGCAAAAAAGACTAAAAGATAAAATAAGATCCTAAAAATGAAATGAAATAAAAAAATATATTTTTATTTGTAAAACAACAAAATCGAATAATTAAAAGAAAGTGAAATTAACAAAAAATAAAATAATTAAATTTAAAAAAAGAAAACAATTAATAAAATTAGTTTCTAAAAATTAAATGAAATTAAACCAATACCTCTTCTATAAACAATAAAATCTAAAAACTTAAAGAAAATTTAGCTAAAAAAATGTATGTATCAAAAAAGAATAAAATAAAATAAGTTCATAAAAATTAAATGAAACTAAAAACAAAAAATAAAAAAGAATTAAATTGGAAAAGAAAAAAATTAAATTAAAAAAAGAAAAAAATGATCAAGTAAAAAAAATAAATAAATTACGCTGCTCTAGGACTCGAACTCGGATACCTCGAATTGTTTGCCAGTGCTCTGCTCACTCCGTCATTCCGACTGTTGGAATAAATTTTCACCGCGAGTGGTGTATGAGATAGCTTTTTTCTAAGGCTTTTGTCCCAGAATAACCAAAGTCTTTCGAACTATCTTGCCATCTTTCGTTCATTAGTCCTACGAAATACTTTTTACTATCTTGGCCACAATTGCCCTGAAAGTTTCATCAAAATTTTGAGCTTTTAAATTATATTCCTCAGAAACATTCCGAGTATGCCATTTTGTAGGCCATTTAGTTTTAGTATAATAAAATTCCAGTTTGAAATACCTAAGACTTACCGTTGATTTTTGGAAAAAAATTTAATCGGTTACAATTAAACTTAAAAAAATTCAAAAAAACCAGATCAAAAAGTTTTAAATTTTAATGAAGATGTGTTAAAATTCATTTGAAACTTTGATTTACATAGTTTTTTTATTAGATAGTGAACTATATATTTATAAAAAAAAATAATAAGAAAAACTTCTTTACAAAGAAAAATATCTAAAATGTCCATTCCCTATTTACATGTTCGTCCACGTATGTAGGTAGTACAGTATTGATACTACATACCTTCAAGTAGCCAAGTTCCCATTTCTTTTGGTTGACCAATTTTGATTCATGGCCCTCATCATCAAAATCGTGGCTATCCTCGGTTGAGGACTCTAAGAATGAATTCATATTTTCGATCCTTCGGCAGACACTTATTTATCTATGTACGACATATGTCCTAGAAATGTAAGCGCATATACAAACAATAATAAATAAATTTTACACAGATTAAAGTTTAGTTTAAATTAACCTTCAGTATACATATAAAACACATTCTTGAATTAGAAATTTTGAATACAATCGTGCAAACCACGGCTAACATAATTTTTCTTGGAGTTCGTATTAGGTATAATGTGTTCGACTTTGAAAATACTAAATTGTACATAACTAGGGATGGCAGCGATTAATCATTTGATTAAATTAATCGATTATTTTTGTCCAGTTGTCGAATTAATTTTTTCATAAATTAGTGCTTTATTAAACGATTATTAATCGATTAATTGTAAAATAATCGTAAATATATTTTCAAGAAATATGAATTCTGTAGTTGTCTAAATAAATTATTAAGTTCTTGCGAACTCAAATAATGAGCGCTGATGATCTTATGCACTGAGGGATAAAAAAAATATTAACATCAAATAGAAACGTAATTCATCTCACTATAAACGTCAACGAAAGTACTGTATATTGGTAAATATTCAATTCAATTACGCGCATATTAAAATTACCGCGTTCATACTGAAAAAGCATTCGCGAAGTGAATATTCAAGACAAAAACTAAAAAAAAAAAAATTAATTTGCATGTTGCCTGCAGTTGATTTCGAACCCGACCATCTCCGGTTATCAACAACTTGTGGCAAGCATCTTTGCGCACTCAGCTACACCCAGACATATAAATTTTCTTTCAAATGTTGAATATCCATCAACACCACAGCACGCGATTTGTACTATGTATGTATGTGTGCGTAATAAATTTTGTATGAAAATATTATTTTTAAATACGAACATTTTTAAACGATAATCAAATATAAAGTATTCATTTTTACTATGCATTATTTCCCTCAGTGTGGAAACGGCTAGCGAGTCGTCATTATAATCAACAGATCTTTGGGTCCCTCATAAATCTCTTGTATACAAACGAAGGCGAAAAGATGATGATTTGGGTCACCCACAAGATGAAATGAGTTTTTATTTAAATTATCAAGCCCAGAACTAAATCGGAATATCATCGACGATTGGGAGGATAAGAAAACTGTTTACTCAAAACTTTACGGACTTTTGAAAAAACTGTCATTTAGTTGGTACCTCGATGCCTGCTGAGCGCCTTTTTTCAAAAGCTGGTGCTACACCCACCGACAAACGCAACCGCCTAAAAACAAAACGCTTTTCAAAGATTTTGGTTTTTGCAAACTTGGTTAAATAAAAAATAATTATCACCGCTAAAAATAGTTGTTTAATATATACATACTGATCGATTTGAATAAGTAGATATGTATATGAACATTAGGGTGGTGAAAAATGGTATACAGAAATGGTAGAAATGGTATACAATTTTTTTTAAATAAATATTCGATCGGAACTCTGTTTCTCATCAGGAATTTCCAATAATAATACCCAATTGCTTATTTTATCATATTTTAATAGTAACTATTTTTAAAGGTCCCCCAAAAACCCACAAAAATGCAATGGGGGGACTCATCTTACGTTTTTGTATATTTTTTCGAAATACATAGAACAATCCTAGGGGGTGGGATCATAGAAATTCGAACTTGAATTTTTTTACATGCATTTTTGGACCACCCTAATTTTTATATGTACGTGTACCAATTCGCAATAGTTTTCACTTAGTAACTATAAACAGGCCATGGAAGCATCTATGGACGTTCACGATATGGTAGCGATACAAATCGTTGACTGTATATCGAACCGGGGACGTCGCATTTTTGATATACTAGTCATAGTACCCAATAATTCCTCTCCTTGCAGGAAGTCAAATGGTAAGAGCCTTATTGTGGGTTGTCACGCTAGCTCATAAAGCATTACAACCCTATTAAATTTCATTATGTCGGTTGGTAATACGAAAAACATTTGTCTCACTAATAGGAGATCTGAAGTTATTGATAACAAAGTTATGGCTAATCTCCTCAAAAGATGGAAGATGGTCCTGGAAGAGCGTCTCTCTGATTACACTGTAGGACGCTAAATGACACAAAAAACTCCTAGACACGTAAAATTAATTTTTGATCGTAGATTCCGTATTTGTGTACCTACCTTCTAGATCTTCAGGTCATTTTCCCAATATATTTTAATTTCCAATTCGCATTGAGAATGAGAAAATTCAAACTTTAACATGGAAAATATTACTTATACGCCATGTACGAGTATGTACCAGTACGACCATGTACGATATGGCGTATGAGTAACATTATTTCCTGCTTCTATTTCATAGCTTAAATTTAGTTTGCAAAAGAAATAAAAAATAAGAAACATCTTTTCTTTTATTTTTTTCCTGTTAAAATTTGTTTTATTTTTTATAAAAATTAAAATGCCTTCGGAAAATTATCTGATTTATAAAAACCCTATACAAACCAGTAATCTTTCACCCAATATTAAGTTTACATGTTTCGGCGTTTTTTGTGTCATTGCAAAATATCAATCAATTGGAATTGAAGTTCAAGTTAACCAGTTTACTTTGCTTCTCGATCTAACTTCGAGAACGCAGAATAGACGTAGCCCTTGTTTATACCAATAATGTCGCTCTCGTAAAGTATTGTGTCTGGGCGGTTCAGTTCTGATCTTTTCCAACATCAGATTCAAGAAATAACACGAATGGGAGTCGCCTTGTTTGATACACAGTTTAGTATAAAACAGCTCGGAGAGGTCCTTCCTGATTCTGACGATGCTGGAGGTATTGATCAACGTTTAAGTAGCCTAACTCTCTGAACATTTTTCGGGCGATTTTCATGCCGGCCAGTATTTGATGCTGTTCGCCATCACGTATTTCGGCCTCTCTCTTCTTATTGCGGAAAATACGTATCGATTCCCCCTTCAGCTCCCTATAAAGATCCCACATAGCTGGTGTTGCGCCCGATCGCATCGTGGCCCTGTACAAAACCAGGCACAAACAACTCGTGTAGAAAACAGTACTCAGCCTACACGCCGCTTTCAATCTGCCCGATTTGCGATTAAACCTAAGTAGATTGCTGGATGTCAAGTAGATCAGGTGTTCGTCTCTCAACACATCGCGGCCAAATGCCTCATACCTAACTCTTGCAAAGGCGTGGCAGAAGCACAAAAAGTGTTCCTGCGTGTCGTCCTCTTAATGGCATGATGGTCAAATGGAGTTGTCATGTACGCCTATCACAGTCAGGTGCTTGTGCCACGAAAAGTGACCAGTAAAGTAAGCTCGTTGTGTTTGCTTGGGTGTCACCACAGACATGTAAACTCCTTCCCCTCCACCGATTTTTCACAACTTAGTCCATGGCTTTGAGTATTGCAAATACCTCTGCTGGAAGACCGAAGTTTACTCCCAAAAGAAATGTGAAGCTTATTCAATTAACTTCGATAAAGACCCCAAATAATGGTGGCATACTATCCTGTTGCATTGAAAAGTGATTAAGACACTAAGCGACAATAAATGCAGCAATGCGTCAAGAGCACCAGCAGGTGTTGTATAGTAGGTACACGTACAGCACACGGCAATAGTTCTTTGAAGTGTAGCAAGCAAACTTCTCTCGATATTGATTGGGAGTCTGCTTCATTATATCACTTACACATAGCGGATTATGGGTCTGATCATAGAGGTATAAATTCATGAGATTACCTCTGGTGATAGACCCCACGTTTTGCCAAAGACCTGTTTATATTGCCAAAATATCTTGTATTCCATGTGAGATTTCCACAATAGTTTTGTATCCAGAATTATCCCTAGATACTTCACTTCAGAAGAAGAATGAATTGTGACTTATTTAAGTGTGAGTGGAATGAGACTATCCAACCTTCTAGTGAAGAGCACAACACTAGTTTTGGTTGGATTAACGGTGAGCCCATTTCCATCACACCAAGCATCTATCATATCCAATATTGTCTGCGCTTTCCTGCAAATAGCCCGCAGAGATGGGGCGGTAACTAGGACGCATCGGCTGGAACGTAGATATCATCATATCTCCGTAGTAAACAGTGCGTCAGTGCGAGAACTTCAGATGCTGGTCGAAGGGAAAACGTCCAGAAACGCTATCAGAAAGCAAGTATTCATCCGTTCAGGGAACGCTAACTACTACTAACGCGTGGCATCCTATGACACACACAATGCATAAGATACCAATGATTTTGGTTTATATATTGTGCATTATAGTGTACACACATTTTATAAATAAAGGTAGTCAATATATTTTAAATAGTAAATTATTGGATATATAGATATATATTGTATTAATATAACCTATCTGTGGAGTGCAATGGGGTATAGCCGTTGCGCTGGATATGCAGTTACAGTTGCATGGCTATACTCAATCCCGACTCTTGCGTCCTCGTTCGCGCACTCTGGGCAACGTGAGCAACCCATGTGCGAGATGCGGTAACCAATCCGAGTGGAGCCTTGGGTCACGGCAGAAAGAGAGGGAGCGTCGGTGGGGCCACTCCGACATATTCGGCTTAAGGGCTCACTGAAGTCTGCAGCGTCTGTTTACCAGTAGGTGCGGCTGCAAGCGGGAGTCTGCTTGGAGCAAGCGGCTCGCTATATAAACGTGTATTTGGTTGCGAAACCACCCCCGTCCAAGCAATGGGTTGTGCGCTGGGCTTGGGACCAGCCCCGTAAAAACCACTTCCAGTGAAGAAGCTAGGCAAAGCCTCGGATGAGACCCCCCCCCCCCCTTATGATGACGACCACGGCAAACGTTTAAAGGGCTACGATTTGAGGGCATGCACCTGGAATGTCCGGACCCTTAATGGGGAAGGTGCCTCTGCCCGGCTCCATCTGCCCATCTAAGAAATGCGTTGGCGGGGCAAGACAAGTAATGTCTGGGGCCTTGCGGCGTCTACTACAGCTGCCATGTAAAGGAGCGCAAATTCGCTCTCAGAGAGCACTCATCAACAAACCAACATATGCGAGCAGTGGAACCACATACCCCGCTCATTAAGTATCGCCGCCGAAGAAGTAGTCGGATTTCAGCGATCGCG